CGAGATGGAAATTCGATTCTTCAGTCCCAAACTGGACTGGATACCTGAGGTGCCTCTACACCGAAGCGGGTTTGGAGCCGAGATGGCTGAGTACCCGAACTACGAATGTTGCGAACTGGGCTTACTTGACTGAGTTGTCATCCTTTAATTAGATCGCACCTACGTATCCCCTTCCTGTTAGGTCGTGCCAAATCGCCCTTCATCAATATCCGTTTGATCAAGTCCTGAAAACATAGATGTACCCATATTCGATTCGATTCGAACCGATCCGATCGGATCGATTTGCAGGCCTAATAACTCCGATAAAAGTAGAAGAATAAAGAGAAATAAAGGAAATAAAAAAAAGAGGCAAACGACAAAGTGAGAGTGACTGAATCTACTTCCCCAACGTCAATGGAACGAAGACGATATTAAAATTATTGTCGAAGAGGGACGAATAATTGCCTTTTACGTGGAGTCTTCAAATGGACGGTGGATGCCGTGGAATGCTTCAGCTTCTACAGTTTGTACCGAAACTGCAATACAATCCGAAATAAAAATAAAATGTGACGTACTGACGGTGTCATGCCGGCCCCAAACACTTGTGAGCATTTACAACTCACAAATGTGGCGTCTATCGTCGATCTTAGTTTATTATACGACGGTGGAGATAAGGCGCCACGCGGCTCTTTTTAGTGCTGCCACGTTGAATGATTGTACTATACGGAACGATACGGTGTCAGAAAACCGAGAATGCGCGGTTTCCATTCAACTACCGAACTGGTTCACAAGCAAAACATCCAGTGATCTCTTGCCACGTCTTTTTGGACATAGATCGCCAATGGACGGTTCCTGAATCCCCACTCCCCACTCCCCAGGCGTCATGGGCGGTTCTTCTTTGGAAATTCGAACTTTGTAAAACGCTGATAAAATTTCTATTCAAGAGTAGCGACTAGCGAGAAACTCCTGTGAACCCTACCACTCTACCAGCCAGGTCCTCTCTCTCTCTCCCCCCCGCGTCAAGTCTCTTTCTCTACAGAATTTATGTCGATTAGTCAATGTGAGCAATTAAGGCCGTGTTTGGTTGCAATACAAATAAATTTATACTGCTGCAAAATTATGGCAGTGTAAATTGTGATTTCTTTTTTTTTCAACTTTTTAGTTTATTTTGTTTGATTACAGTATAGATGAAATAAATTAACATTTTTTATTTACAAAATAAAAAAATTAAATAAAATTCAAAACAAAATTAAATAAGAATTTACATTTTTTTTTTATTTACACTTTCATATATTTATAATGATGCAAATAAATTTAACTATAATGGAGCGTGACATTTTGTTTGGTACTTAAATAGAGCGTGACTTCATGTCTTTTTCATTTACCTTATACTAGAAGCAGAACCTGATGGTTGTAGCGGATATTTAGATCGAACTGATTAGGTTTATTGGGTCAGATGCAATTGTTCTAAGAACCGATGGATTTGATTCTCGGTCTAAAATTATAGACATATCAGGTCTGATTTGATCAGTTGTGGTTCTATTTGGGCTCAATCTAGACTCGACCTGTTGGCAGCCTTATGAGACGCCTATACATAGAGCATATTACTTCTACACCAGCTAGGCATGTTTGATGCGATCCATAACAAGGACCTCCTCAACTTATACATATGAGTCCGTTTGGTATGGTTTGTTTGCGAGAGGTGAGTTTCAATGATAGAGCCGTGGAGCACCTATCTTCCTGAATGTAGTGACATGTTTTTTGGATTTTCACCAAACATAATTTCTAACATTCTTTCTTGTGATTGGAATACAGTGATGCACTTTTTGGATTTTCACCAAAAACAATTTCTAACATTCTCATGTGTGGCCCAGCTTGGAATGCTAGAAGCCACATCCTCAAAGCTCTCTCAAATTGACACTATATCTTTGGTTTTCCAGGAGTTTATCAAACATGGCTTCATAGTTTTCCATAAATGTCAAATGCAGTCTTCTTCATATGGATAAAAAATGACCCAAATCATTCCTCTCTTTTTCCATATATCGATTTAAAAGTACATATCCTGAATTTTTTTTTTTAAATGACTTAATTTAAGTATACCTTGTGACATTTTATTCTTTATTTTCTTTCAAATTTTCAAAATATACCCTAAAAAACTTATGGGAATAATTAGCATACTAATAAAAAATGCCAAAACACAATATGTCTCCAACCCCCAACATTTTCAGGGCAATCTTATTAATGGCAACGGGTCTAAGACTGAGTTAATTTAATTATCTAGGCGGAATTCATAATTATAGCTCTTGCCATTCACTACACGGCCCTTTGTAGCTTCTCTAGATCCCCTCTCCTTTTTTCATTGGGTTTTGCCTCCTCAGACTTTGCATCTCTCTACCTATCTATCTCTTTTCTCCTCTCTAATGTCAAATTAACATCCTTCACGTCTATTTCCGAGCTAAACGTATCTCATTGTATCAAAGCTGTACATTTGCTTACTGACGTGGTGACTGTGATCGAATAGGTGCAACTCTCCAACACCATTGTTTTACACTTGGACCAAAACCATCTTCTCCTTGGAATTGAAACATATATATCTTCTCTTCTTCAAATAATAAGATGTGCTGATGTGGTAAAATAGGAAAATGGAATTCAATTCTCCATTTTTTTTCCTCTTCTCTTATTTCAGTACTCTTAGTTTTCTCTTTTCTTCTTCCATCTCACTTTTCCTTCTTTTCCTCTATAGAAGGCCAAAATAGGATTTAAAAAAGTTTAAGTCAATTTGTATATAATGTTTCATTGATGAAGGGTAGGATTAAGTCCGACAGGATCAGCCTACAAGGTAAATTTAAATATTTTTGAAAAACTTAAGATATATTTAAATCAATTTATGAAAACTAATGGCATGTTTAAGTTTTTTACCCTAAAAAATGTGGTGATAATAATACAAGTTCAAGAACCCAGATTTCCTACTCACCTTTCCTATCTATTCTCTATCTGCTGTGAATTGCAGTCACATATCTCTCTAAGAGATGTGTGGTTATAATTCATGGATGAAGAGTGGATAAGAAAAGTGAATAGAAAATCGGGAGAAGTACCAATTAACCCAAATCAAAATTTACTAGGCCCAAAGTACAGGGGAAATGCATCCTGACCATGAATTGATGCCACATTCACGGGCAGGATGTGGTTTATAGGGGGGAGAGAACTAGTTGTAGGGGGGGCTGGAATTCAGAATTCTTCATCGTATGTTTCCGTACTTTTCCCTAGAAAATCCTGCTTGCATGCTCAATACTCGATTTTTGAGTATCGAGCTCATTGATAGTTTAATTAGCTATTTCTTATTCAAATCCTGAAACTAAATCTAACCATGAGTATCACCCCCCTTTGAGTCGCACAAAATCACATTTTTTTTTTCACATAATGTATATCAATATTTTGAATATTGATCAAGCCATCTATTAGCCCAACCATATGGAATCAGTAACCAAGGGTTTTGGACACGTACTCCATGCGTAGATTGCTACATCCTGGTCCAATTATATCTACCATTTTGACATGTAGCGGCAGAGATTAGTCTCCAAAGGATATCCAGGCACTGAGCTTCTCTGGATATCCAACTGGACAAGCTTTTGTGGCTTGAATCAAAGTTTTTGCTTCTCTAAACATTTGTGGAATCCAATCAATTACTACCATACAATCATCATGATCAAACCAGTTCACTGTGGAAAAGAAAGTCAATGCCTTGCAATAGCAACGGAGAGATCTAGAGAGAGATTATGCATTTAAAGCATGGTTTTCAAAATCGGCTGGACCGGAAAAACCGGGATGACCGGTTCTGTTTTTCTTTAAAACTGTTTTTTTTTTTTCTAAAAAATTATTGATTTTGGTCAGTAAACTGTTGATCTGGGTGGTTAATTATTCAAACCGTTTTGACCATTTTTAAAATTTTTAATTTTTATTAAAACGGGCTAATTGTTTGGTTCAAACGATCGGACTATTCAACACCAAAACCGGATCCTGACCGATTCATTCTCCGGGTCAGTTTTAAAAACTTGCTTTAAAGAGTTTCCATTAACTACAACAAAACACAACTATAGCAGAATTTATTTTCACCGCTATAACTCTGTTTATATGCCATTATGTGCCGCTAAAAACTATGTCGGTATAGGCTTTAGTGGCATATATATATAACGTTGCTATTAACGATTCTATATGCCACTATAAGTTTAAAAAAAAAAAGAATTAATTTGCATGCCTATCGGGAAACATCAAAAAGTTAAACAAGGAACAAAAAATGACCATATTATACAACACAAAAAGTGTAGGTTCTCATACAAGAAAAAATGGATAACATGACTTAATAAGCAAGCAAGATGATCACAATGTTCCAAACAGAGAGTAGGTTTCGTTTTGATGACTTCTTTTTGTGACTGTTTGTAATCATCTTTGGGACACCTCCCACTCAGATGTAATCTTTCATTTTGAAATCTTGCAGTAGATTTTGGTGCAGTCATAAAAATTAAATTTGACAACATATTATTAATTTATAACTATTCCTTTATTTGCATAAATAAATAGCACGTGTCCTCGCACTAATAAAAATAAAGTCACCAGAAATAAGGACACCAGTACATTCATTTTTTATGGATAGCCAGTAACAATATAATTCATATGACTCATCTATGATAACTATCACTCATATATATGACCCAATTCTCACCTCCAACTTCATGATTCTCATTGTATTATAGAGAAAGAAGAGCTAGATCTATCAGATCAGTCATATGGCCTGATTCCTACCTCCAACTTCATAAATGATTCTCATTGCGCAATTGCAGAGAATATATCCTTTTAAGAGCTATGATTGATTTATATGGCCTGATTCCCTCCCACCTTCTATGGATACAGTTAAATTTAACCGTCATGGCTGTTGTATACAAAGGTTTCCACACTTTTCATACTGGTTCTTTGTTTACATTGGTTGCCAAGAAAGTTATTGCTCAAAGCGATAAGACACATGATAAATAAAAGAGCACGCTTTACCAGTATTCACATTACATATATTTAGTTCCATCAAAAAAAAAAAAAATCAAACATCAATCCATTTTTGTGGATCCAATCAATCTCCACCCCCAATTCTAAAACTGGTAGTCAATTACAGATAACTCAGAAGAAGTAGGCCATGAAACTTGAACCACAACCATGTGTTCCTCCTCATACGTAAACGGCACCTCTTCACCATCAATTAGACAAGCTTTTGGCTTTTCTGATGCAAACGACCTCATCTCTCCGGTTCCCCTCACTCCAATTCGAACCGAGTTTGTCTTGATGTCTAACTCCAGTGATCGAATGGCACCGCCAGTGTTAAGCATGTTGATTAATCCAATCGGAGCAAATTGGATTTTGTTCGATAATAACTTCACCGGAGAAACTGTAAGTAGCTCGAAATTAAAAGGCTCCAATGAAATGTCCATCTGTTCCCACGGCTTCAAGAGCACCATCTTCTTCGCCCGGAACATATAAACAGCAAATACTTGTACCCCTTCAGTGGAAACCGGATTCTTTCCGTTTTGCCATTCAATATCGTTCGGGCTCGTCGTAGCCGACACGACGGAATGCGAAAACTCGGAGGCACACTTGTTTCTTCGAGCTCCACGGCACCAACCTCCTCCCTGGCAGTTAAATGCTCCCAATACTCCAGTGAACTGTTACAAAGTCGAAATTAGTCTCAGTCTCAGACAGCTTTGGAGCGTGAATGGGCCTAGATAGTCAGCCCAGTTCAGCCAGGGGACTTTTGGCTTGGGCCTGAAACAAAGCAGCCCTAGGCCCTATCTGTAGAAGCCCATTTAAATTCTTTACGAAATGAGTGGGGGGTTTTTTGGATGGAGTACAGAAATCAAGGACAGTCAATACGGTACCTTGTTGAGGTTCCATATCTTGAGCATTGTCTTCCCATCATGCAATGGATCTTGAAAGAGGCAATCCCTAGTGGGAAGTGCGTAGAAATCGCACCGGAGAATCGAGCCGTCGGGCAACACTATGCTCTTAAGCAACCGGAAGTCATGCTGTCCGACGGAGTCACTCACGTAAATGGGGCCCCCTGAAATTGCCCTGGAAGCAGCGTGGAATTCTGCGCAGGGGTGGGTGGATTGAAACATGTCCCAATCAGGGTGTATGAAGTTCCCCATCCATAAGCTATTGTACGCGCAGTGCACCATGTGGCACCCTTGTAGCCAGAATGTACCATTTGGATCACCAGACGGATCAATGCACCAAAAATCGTCCCCTGTTGCAAGTTGCAACACAAGATGATTAGTGTTGGGCCAGTTGGCTTGGCATCTTTTATTAATCCATCTACTGATGGATTGATAGATAGATAGATAGATAAAAAGCTAGCCTTAGCCTTAATTAATCATCCATCGTATCATACAAAAATATTCCATTCTGATGGTCTCTTTTCATCCCTGTAGCTTCAAATTAAAGCCATCCCAGCTCTCTCCTATCTTGATGAGTGTTCTATCATCTATAATAAATATATATATGTTACGTACCGACGCGGCCAAGTGAGATGGCCTCAGTTCCGAGGAACATGAAGTCGTTGCAGTGCTCCATGCTTGCAATGACACCATTGCCCCTGAAATGTTTCCGCACCGACTCCGTTATGGCCTTGTAGTAAGCCTTGGCTAGCTCCACCCTACCGCCGTAGTCCTCGCACAACATCTCTAGCAGCTGCATCCACCAAAGCAAAGCAAAACAAAGCATTCTGTTATCGTCGCTACTCTTCCTTCTTCCATATGTCGCTTGAAAATGCGGTGTTTATCGAATCGGGGATGGGCGAGTGACACGTCACCGCCCCGACTCATGTTTTTCTTTCTAGAGTAGACACAGATTTTCATTGTCACCGTCTAAAAGATTGACTTCCTAGTTTCAGATTTCTACCAAAAAAACAAAACATTGTATCCAGACAGGGGTCCAGACTTTTCTAGAGAAAAGGCTTATCTCTAATAGTAACACTGACGTTATATGCGTGACACTTGGAAACTCTTTTTTGCTCTATCGGGAAGGGAACATGCATGTTTAACGAAGTGAGTCAAAGGACTGATAAATTAGATATGAGAATAAAGTAAAGACGTAGGATGTGTTTTAAGTTTTTAAAAGTTGAGTAGGGAGAACTTACATGAATTACATCCACCTTGACCCCGTCAATTCCGACGGACTGCAGATGCGAGTGAAGCCCCTCGTACATCTGCTGAACCATCTCAGGTGGGACCAACCCCACGCCGTTGTTGACAATCTTATCGACGGCCAGATCTTCCATGGTCATCTGCAATCCAGGAGAGAGCTTAGGGGCTATGACCCTGGATTCAGGCATCCCGGGGACATGGGGTCGAATCCCACCCCAGTAGCCACACAATGCGTGCCACACATATACGTACTCTATGCTCTTGAACGTCTCCTTCAAGTCCCTGATAAAGGCACCCAT